AGGCAGTTGATTGCCCTTCTAGCTATAATAACTCACTTCCTTTCCCTCTACAACCTTGCTGGGATTGCTTGATTGGGTTAGCATTCATAGCTGTTAGCACGAGATGCAGTTCAGTTAAATAGATAACTCCTAGCTCTTAGGATTGAAGCTTATCTTCTCAGAACTCAAACTTTGAAAAGGTTCCTAGTAAACTTAACGTTAAAGAAAGCTTAGCTTATTCTCCCACTCTGGTTTTAACCGATGCATTAGCTTTTCTTTTACAAGATGTCCTGGACGCCCCTTTCTTCAAACTTCAAAAAAGGAGATGCATGTAATTACGGATATCATAGCTTTAGGTGCTCCTACTTTAGACGTACATGGACGATACACTCGATACAGCCAGCGTATAGGGATAGGGAGAGGTAAAAAGGCATAGCATAGCTTTCAGGGAAACTCCTTAACACAGGAGTATTGGAAATGGAAATACAGATCAAATACCTTCTGAGGCGGTGTTCCCTACATACAGTACGGAGGGGAAGCGGGAAGAGAAGAAGGGCTAATTAGAATATGCAACAGCGCTTAGCCCCTCCACTCAACTCAGCCATACAAGCCTTTCTAGTTATCCTATACGTTATGTGCTTAGTTACACGGTTACACGACTTCGACTCTGGGCGTCCCCCTTAACCAACTATCCTTCTTTCCACGGACAGGCAGGTTAAGCTGACTAGCTGCCATCGCTTTCAGATTCAAGGAAATTTTCCAGACCTTTAGGTTCTGATTCGACTGATCGCCCTACTTCTTTAGCTTTAGGAGCTAGACCAGCGAGAGATTCTTTCTATTACAAGAGTTTACTTCGAGAGAAACAGACCGGGCATCCATCCATTCTTCTATGTCTTCTATGTTATAAGCCTCTGGCTCTAGCTACTCTCGATACCTCTTACTTCAGAATAGTCACGCTTCCCAGTCTCTCCTTGCAGCGAGTTAGAAGGTTGTCTAAGCGATTAAGGAGTTTTGTAATCAATATCCGCTATCTTCATCTGGTCTTTCCGGAAGCCTGCCCATCGAGCTGAGGAGAAAGGAAAGAAGAGCTTGTTGTTCCTTCCCGCGTTGGAATGCAACCCTAGTTGAAAGTGATGATGTTGATCTCCTTTTCCGAGAATGAGAATGTTAGGCTAATCTGAATAGGGGGTTGGGAATCCCACCTTTGAAAGAGTTGGTGTCTCGTCCGGGGCATGCTAATAGTTGTGTGGGGATATATTCCTAAGCCAAGCTATACCTGCAAACCAGTTTTTGTCTTGTTCTGAGGGAAAAGACTTCATAATAGGCCAGCCAGGACTAGTGTGATCCTAACCGGTCTTCTTCTTACTTACACTATTTCTTTTACCGGGATTGATGTCCGAGGAAGGATTGGAAGAGTGAGGGTTTAGGCTTTCCAGGAAGAGATGAGACCAAATCCTTCTCACTGGAGAGATGCGAAGAAGGAACTGTTTTCAGGACAAAGACTCGAAGGGCTTGGTTGTGAGGAAGTGAATAAATTAGGGTACGGTCCGACGTAAGCCACAGTTTGATCGACAAGCTCAGTTTACAATGAAAATCAATGCAAGAAGAAGAAGGACGACAACGGAATGGGAGGTTCATCGGAACTGTTATAGTTCGATCGCAAATAGCGTTTAGCTTGAGTGCGCGATCATGACAAGGACTTGAGGTTCTTTTTCCGAAGGAGCTGAGAAAGGAAGCATCATTGGCTAAACCCACGAGCCAGAGACGGAATTCCCAAGTCGAATGGGAACCATTTCTGTACCGGTTCCACCGAATGCTCCTCTTTTCTACTACGGTAAACTTCACTCTAAGCCAATCCAGTTCTCTGACTAAAGGTTCACTGGAACCTACCAAGCCAAGCATTTGCCCGCTTGACGGTCGGAGCGCTCTTTTATGATATGAAGAAGAAGCGCGTATATCTTTTATCTATGCTTGGCTGGTGGAATAGATCATTGCATTTTTTAGATAAAAGCTGGCGATGACTTGTCAACTCAATCGAGATCGATCGCTTTCAAGTGTTTTTTGTTTCCCTCCCGAAAGAAAATTGGAAAGAAGAAAGAAGGCGCAACACTTTCAGTGCCTTTTCGCTAGTAAGATCCATACAAAAACAAGTGCGTCTCACTGTCACGGGAATAGACAGAGAGCGATTGGAAGCCTTATGCTCCGCCCGCGGTGCTAAACTCTAAACTAAAGTTCCGCGAGAATAGAGTTTGTTCTATGGTCCGAAGAACGCTCAGAATCCGGATGAGTTGACTCAGGCACAGATCCATTTTCCCTCTGCCTCGGCGTCACTCCAATAGCCGATGTCATCATTAGGGCAAACGATTTCTCTTTATTGCCTATCTCTCTAGAAAGGAGGAGTAATAGAAGGTTAGGTGTTCATTGGGTATGATATCTAGTGCCGATCCGGGATACTCCGAAGGGCGACTAGGTCAGTCCATTGAGGGAGGCGGAAAAGGCCTTATATTCGCCATCGGGAACTAGATCGGTCTTTGGCTTTTACGGCCACCAATGGGCAGCAGCTGTGTTAAAGAGCCGTGGATGGTACCTTTAATCAACTTGCTCCCCTTGACCTTGGGAGCATGGATTCTTTCTCGTAAAAATCAGCAACAGACCGTTGGCCGCTGCAAGTTATGTCTAAGATGATGACAACCGTGTTCGGAGAGAGGCTTGGCTATTGTTGGGCATTAACCATCAATGGCACTATGTTCGATGTACCCTTTGTAAAGTAAAAAAGGGTCCACTGTATGTTTTATAACAGGCCACAGGCCAACCTCTCGGATATATGTCGTCTTGGGCCAGTATTCGCACTATCTCACCATTTTCTGGTGTGGTTAGCTGCGGACGAGGTATACCTCGAGAGAAAGTGTACAAACTATGCTCTCTTGGGTGATGATATTGTTATCGCCGACAAGAAGGAAGCAGAATGCTATTTTGATATGCTGCTGGGTTAGTTAGGGGTCAAGATTTGGGCAACGGGACCATTGAATTTTCAAAACGCTTTTTCCATAGTTCACTTGATCCTTCCCCTATTTCACTTAAAATGGTAAGGGGACCTACCCAATACAATAGGAACTATGGCAGGGATGAATAAGTACGGAAAACGCTCTTTAAGAGTGAGTCTACGTTTGCGCGGGGCCAGGTACCACACATATGTGGTGAAACCCGACTTGCCTTTTCATCTAAATCATCATAGACACTTTCTAATATTGTTCTGCCCTTCGGGGATCACCCCTCTTCGTAGGAACGATACAAGCATATGTGCGCGTCTCAAGACATGAGGAAAATGAAACAAACCCCTCATAACATTACTTATCACTTGATCAATCACAATCCTAAAAAAATAGGCGCTTTTTCATTCAATAGCTATTCTTCTCTTGAAAACGAAAATTCCACATTTCTGTCTCCAGAAAGTAATAAGTCAAAGGGACATCTTCTTCCTGAATGACGGAAGTTAAAAAACAGAGAGGGAGAGGAACTCCTTTTGTAATCGCCGAAATTGTACGATGAACTCTTTCAGACGTACGACCTATAAACTCAAAATTCTCCAGTCTGGCCAACAAGTGAAAAAAGAAAGAAAGAGAAGAGCTTTCTGTCTGGTAGCAAAGTCCAGTCTGGCCCGGCCCTCTCACGAGAGTCGAAAGCAAGGGTCAATGGACGGATCTTTTAGATAAAGATTTTGATCCGAGGTAGGAAACAAAGATGGGCCAGCCCTCCAAGCAACTTCTTTTGAGAGATAAGCGGAGTAAGGGTCTAAAGACTGTTACCAATAGCAAGGGGCAGTCTTAGTCTTAGAGAAAGAAGTTCCTTAACAACTCACTGGGATCCGCACGGGACCAGATAGGCCGAGGGTTAGAAGGCCGCCGCCTTATCCAAAAAGTTGCCCTTCTGAGGCTAACCCGTCATACCCCTGCGCAAAAGAACTACTTTCTCTTCGGGGAGGAAGGGCTACTATTAGCCTAGAAAGAAAAGAAAGAGGAGATTCGTCCTTTTTCTTAGGCACGGAAAAGTCTTTGTGCTTGTATGAATGAATGCTTATCTCGGGACATCCGGAGCGAAAGCCTTGAGAGTGAGGGCCAGGTCAGCCTTCAATCTTTCCTCGAGAAAGCTATCATTTAAGTGCAAAATCGCGACTTAAGAACCTTCAAAGCGTAAGAACTGAGCTACTTCGTTCCTTTTCATCTTTAATAACGTGTTCAGTTAGAAGAGCAAATCCCCCTCTCCAACCCAAACCCAAGGGGAGCAGAAGATGCTCCCGTTGCTGCTTGCTAGCCCTTTCCTCCTACTCGTATTAATGATCAAAAGTCCTATATAAGCGAAAGTCTATCTTTTCTAAATCTACCTATGTTGAACAACATTAGATAGGGATAGAGAAGAGATTGGTTACAGATGATGAAACTCATGATAGAATAGCCAAGGAAAGTTCAACTACTTCTATCGGCTCTAAGCCTAGTTCTTCCAACCCTAGAATCAAGCACCAGGTAATTCCTGAAAGCAGCAAATCCAGTACCTCGAACAGGAATCAAACTTTTTGACGTTGCAAGCACCACAAGTACTATTCCCCATCCCTAAATAAAGCTCCGCTCGGCTCGGCGATGTTGAAGAAGAATAAAGGTGAGATAGATTTCTCTTTGATCGACCAAGCCATTCAATCAATGCTTTCGTGCGCTTACTCTGCATCCAATGAGTGCAGTTACTACCCAAGTCGGCAGTTTCTCATTCGGTGGTTTGTACCTTTTAAATTATAATCCTAAAACAATGATTATTGAGTTGGAGCCTCCTCCTCTTTCTTCATTTTGCTTTTTCTGACTAGTTTATGTTCCCTCTTTCGCTTCTTCATCTTGGACTGGATTGTCACCGGTTAGGCAGATAGTTGTTAAAAGATGTTAGTAGTAGCTCCCTGCTTGATAGGACCTACTTGGCTTAGGTTGTTGAAGCGATAAGACCAACAGCACTTTGTATTGACTTAATGCTCAAATCAGAATGAGTTCGTTATTTTCCTAATAAAGGAAAGGCAGAGCATACCCAACTTCTATATGTCAATCAAGTTCCTGCATGTGAGCATGGGTGGTAAAGGAAGAAAGCGTGAGCCTGCTAGACTGGTAGTTGTGGTTGACTGGGACAGTCTAGAGGTCATAGATCCAGAGGACGTGGGTGAGGAGATGTTTGCATGCTCCGACTATAGGCCGCTACCTTCCCAACGGTCTCAGTCCTACGATTGACTTAGATAAGTGGTGTTCGAAAAATGCTCGACCAAAGGAATGAATCACAAGGTGAATTTGATGTATGGAAAGTGCCAAACATTGGGAACTACCCGGGGAGGAGTTAGGAATAGGAACAAGGAGAAGCGAAAACCACTTAAATGGAGCTTCGAAAAAACGTCGGGTAAGTCATTGGGCAAAATTCCCGGCGTGAGAGACTTCTGCAAGTCGATCTCCACACAGAGTTGCATATGACCTCTTTTTTAGCTTATCTTAGTCAAAAGAGCGGCATTACTCCGAAATAATAAAAAAATCGAAATGAATATGTCGTCGCCTCCCTTAGTGCTGACCCGACGAGTCCCACCCCCTGGAAGAGTCGGATTTCCCTGGGGACCTGGTACGCTTAAGTTCGCCCGATAAAATAGCAGTTTATAATCAAGCAGTTGATTCGGGCAAGTTAGTTTGACAGCATACCGTAACCGTAGTATGGAAGGTTTTCTTTATTGACCACGCACTCAAGCCACCCCGCTCGAAAGGAAGGAAGCCCGCCCGTACTCCCCAGTCCCGATCCGGTTTGGTCACTGATAATAGGAATCCTACAGCGATAGAAAGAATCCCCATAAAAATACCACTAGATCGAGCACCTTCGTATCCGGTCAAAATCTTGGCTAATTGATCGAAGTGGGTAGCTTCCCGTTCTACTGTCCAAAACACGCCGACCATTCTAAGTTCTGGGGTTGGGTCGGATAGGACCAGACCAAATTGGCTGGATCTTTCTGCATTCCTAACTCACTCGACCTAGCTACACTCTCATTCACATAGGGTCCTTTCCTTATCCCGAGCGAGAGCGATGTCTCTTTCTATTATGGAAAGCCTGTCGAAGACTTCTAGGTAAGGAAAGGGAGGAAAGTGAGTAACTAGGGCTTACTCTGTCAACACAAGCCGTGTAGGTAGCCTCCTCCTCCGGTCTAAGAAAAATTGTAATTCTTTCTACTTCTCGGGGTATAATGATAGACCAAGGGACTTTTGCAGGCCATTTCAGGAGTTCACCTTCCCTTCTCGTTCGATTCCACACCGAATTCACTATCTTCTGAATCATGCCCTTCCTTCTCGTGAGAGGACGTTTCTCGCTCGGCGCCTAAAGTGCACTATGCTCCGCTTCAACAAATGAGAGTTTTCGGTGGAACCGGTGAACCACGCGAGCTGGTTAGATGCGTTGGGCTAGGGTGAATATTGCAGACCAGCGGATCTGGTAGTCGACAATCGTTCTGACTTGATAAAGGTTAGCCTTCCTTCTGAGCTAGGATCAAACTCGTCTTTTGAGCATGATCACGCCCTGCACTGGTAGAACCTAGTGAACCAGACGTACGACTTCTGAACTTCACGGATACTTTGCAGTCTTTTATTTTGAACATGGGCGAGGCTGCTGCGAATGAGCTCATCTCGAACTCAGTCTTTGATCTCTGTTTTTACATTCCCCTACCCCGGGTGAGAAAAAGAAATGGAACTATCCAATCTCACTGTCAATGCAATTACATGATGTCTTTCCATTGCTTCGGAATGCCTGGACTTCCGTCCTAGGCGTAGGGGGGATCAGAGCAACAGGGAAGGCCTAGACGGACGTTTTTATTCCTGGGCTGCAGTAAGTAGATCGAGAGGGTTTTTCTATCTGAGCCTCCTATGATGACGACGACCTTCCCTTCTGCTTTCTCATCACATTGATGCGGAGTACCGTAGTCACTTGAGTCACGGAGAAAGGGAGCGCTCCCGAACTCGCTCTAACGTCGTGTCTAGGTCACAACGGTGACTAATGCAATTTCTTTGTTCCAGTGGACTAAGTCAATTGACAAGTGGAGATAGTGAATCACGAATAGACTCTCAACCTCTCCTTCCAAGTTCCGTGGGGAAGTGCCCAACTCCAGCTCGACTCTTAATCTTTGGGTGAGAAGGTAGCTCTATTGACTTACGGTAGGAAAGAACGACTGATAAGTTAAGGAGCTGAAGATAGTCAATCGAAGATTCTCGAAACTCTCAATCAACTATGGGACTCCTTTCTGGCAGGGGAGATTCCTTTGATAGTTGTGGAGCTCTGTGGCTGGGATGTCCAATCTCTCGATGACAAACGACTCTGTGCTCCGGTATAATAGCATGTGTACTAGAGGGGCTGAGTATTCATTCCATAAGGGCTAGCGAGTCAGCCAAGCGAGTCTTGTTTGTCTTAGCCACCTTATTTTGAAGGAGCCAGGCCAAGGCAATAACGACCAGGCGCAAGGGGAAAGGCCCTCCAATCTTTACGGAACTGATGGAACTGCATCTCTAACTGCTTAAATGCTCATCTCGTGAAAGCAGTTTCACTAATGGCCGAAGTCCTTCTTCGCGCACAGCCAGACCTTCTGCTCGATTCTTTCTTGCCTCAGCTAGGAAGAAGGTTCTTTTCACCTCGATTTATCTCCTGACTCCGCTCATAAAGCGCTATAATTTGAACTTGAAAATGACATTTTTAGATCTTGGCCTCCCTATGAAAGTTGTAGGTCTATATCTTACTTTTCCATCCATATAAAGTAGACCTAAATATGAGATCTATAGCTCTAGATATGACCCAATTACCGAACAGTGTTCTGGTTTGGATTGCACCGACATCTCTTTTCTAAGTTTGGCTATCTCTTTATCCTTTCAATTTCAATTCTTAAATTCATCAATCAATCCTTTCATTTATGTGATAGGCCTGTATTTAAAATGAACATTTACCATAAATTAAAGGTATCTTATATTATTAGATATATTATTATAAAACAGTTTTAATTAATGAATTATTGATACTTTAAGTGCAAAATGATAATATAAAACTTTGATAAAAATACACTTTTAAGTACTAATCATATAGTCAGTGTTAAGGCCTTAAATATAAACTTTGTTTTGGGATTGATGAATTTCAAGATTTAATGAAAGCACGAGGTATGATTTAGATTAATAAATCCTTATGACCATTGTTTTGGACTAGTAGATCCATAGTGAGAATAAAGTTGGAACTATGATTATTGAGGTGGATTAATGAATCCATTACCAAATTAAAACATAATTGACTTATACGACTTGATTAATGAATATGATAATCTTAAATCAAAAGCCATAATTAATGAATATGATAATCTTAAATAAAAAGCCATAATTATGGAGTTGGGTTAAGGAAATTAAAGCTAAGTTAATGGTATAAAATTAGGTAAATGGAAAAGGTTATCTTAAGATAAAAGCCATAAATATAGAAATGAATTAATAAATGTAAAATTGACATAAACCACGAGTTACAGGTATCAAAAACAATTTAGGAAGGTAATTAACTTAAAAAACAAGGGGGGATGATTTGAAATGAATGATTGAACATATAATGATGAGATTTTAAGATATTCATTATGGAAATAATTTAATATGCATAATAAAAATGTTAGACTATTGGTTGATGAATAAGCTTGAGAAAACAAACAAGTTATGAAGTGGATTGTAAACAAAGGTGAATTTTCCTATACTGTGAATGATTTTGTATGTTAGATATGTTATAATCTTGTTATTTATTATATGACTTTGTATAATTATGTTTTGATAGAATTGATTTTTGGTGAGCCTTTTTTTTATTAAAAAAATTACCCTTATTTTACACGTATAAGATTGTGTGAATGAACAAAGATGTATTATAAATTATAAGGTATTATAATTAGTATCAGAGTTTATCAATTATAAGGTATTACAATTAGTATCATAGCTTATAGTTGTGATTTAGTAGACTACTTGAATATTATATGTGTGATAAATATATATTGTATAAGATTTTCTCTAGTTAGTTTGTAAGTTTTGGCATATGTATATCAACAATTTTACATACAACATTGTATACAGTGAATATAAAGAAATGCATAAATTGTAAGTTCATCTAGCTCTAAATGCCATGACTTGTTATTTACTACAAAGGTTTACTTCATTCGATTGAAGAATTAGACTCAATTTTTATTATTCCAAGTTTTGAGGCATATTAACAATTTAATGTGATGGATCCATTATGATTGGATTTAATATTAATTAGGGTAAGGGTAACTCATATATACAATAAATAAATTTGATCGCAACTAGTACTTCGTGACACTTAAATTGTGCTTAAAGAAATTAGTCATGTTCGCTAGGCTTTGATTTACTTGATCTATTTTTTTAAAAAAATATTCATTTAGATTTTGACTTAAATCAATCTACTTTTAAAGATTATTTTATTATTTAATCACATGTCATTGATAATTTTATAGGCAATATGTTAAGTGTAATTTGTTCCATAACAAATGAGTTTAATATATTTTATCGATGGGTTAAGAAAGAGTTATCAAGTACAAGAATAAAATCAATAGTTATCTTAACATTACCATAAGTTAAAAATTAAAACTTTGTATCTATCAATGCACCTTGTTGACTACACCTTGAGAATAGGAAGGTATTAACGACTAAGATGATTTTTATAATTGTTTTTATCATTGATTAATGAGATAAAGCTTAAAATTACTTCATATAATTCTTAAAAAATTATCAATTGAAGTTGGATTCGTTTCAGATTGGTTGACATGACCATCTAAATGGTTTAAGAGTTATGATGTACTTAATGATATCATTATTTTAGAAAATAGAATTTGATTTGTTTTAAATCTCACCCCAAGTATAAATTGAGAATAATAAAAAATTAACATTTAAAATTTATTATAAGAAGAATATAGATTTAAGTAAGAAGAGCTTATGAAGTAAATGATTCCTTTAGTGAGAATAATAGGGTGAAGCTTCAAAATAAAACAAAAGATTGAAAAAGCACCAACGCTTGTTTTCAAATGTAAGTATGAATTTAAATTTCCTTGATGAAATTTTATAAGGATGGAAGAATATAAACCTTGTGATAAATATCGTAAAATCTTGATCAGGAAAGAATAAATTAAAAGAGAAATATTTTTATTTGTTGTAAATTCTTATAAACTAGTGTAAAACTCTAGAGAAAATAAATGATATAATTATACTTGAAAATACTAATGATTGATGAATTTACCAAAATAACCTATGGGTAATAAAAGAGTGGCAAAACTATAAATAAAAAGAAAAGTCCCCCTTCCCTTTTCATTAAATTTGGCCGATGCTCGAAAGAAGAAGAGACTTAGGAATTTATCTTAAAATCTTCTCATTTCTTCTTTTCTTCGCTAAGTTTGACTCCCATGAAGTTAATTAGTGACTCTAACATAAGATTTTAACTTTAAATAGTGTGTTTAATAAGACTTTTTGATTGAGAAGCTAGAGAGAGAAAGTTTGTAAGATTGAGAAAGGAGTGATGATACTTGAAAATGAGTTCAAAAGACATGGAAAATTGGGATGATACTCATTGGGATGATATTCTTTTATGAATCATTTGCATTATTTCTTTTAATTATGTTAGGAAGTGAGTAGTAGTTAGGGTTTATGCTTGATTTTCTAAAATAATAATTTGAATGGTTCTTTGTTAATTTGTTATATAATGATATGTTTATTAAGCAAATTGAAGGAGTTTTGGTGAATTATGAGGTTCTATTATAAATAAAAAGCTGTTAGTTTTGAAAATTAAGGGATTTTTGAAAATTGACTTTGATTTAAATTGCTTTGGTTTTTTTTTTTGTATTATTGTGATGATTGTATGCTTAGTTTTGATTATAATAAGGGTTGGATTTTTTTAATCTATTTAATTATGGATTATAGTATTTGAAAAAAAATGTTAGCATGTAAAATTTCTATATTGGAATTAAAAAGTGTTGTTTTGGTTAATCCTTGGGTAGTTTGACGTGGGAATGATGTGAAAAGTAACAAATATAAGGAAAATTAATGTAATTTATAGATTTCTAAATTTCTAAGTGGCCAACCAAAATTGAAAGTTTGGAGGAGTTGAAATTTGAAAGTTTGGAGGATTTGTAAATTTTTCTGATTATGCAATTTTTATGTTAATTAAGGATACGTGAGTTTAATTTATTTATAATTAGGTGAAATTTAGGATTATTGCATGAATGAATACTTGTGAACATGTTTTTAGAAAATATAGAAATGTAAAATCCTGCATTTATTATGGTTGAGATCTTTATTAACTAAAAATTAGGTTAATTGACATTTAAAAATTGATGAATTGAAAAATAATCCAAGAGATTTGGTCATCTAAAAGGTTTTATTTAAAAGTGGCTTAAATGTTAGTTTTTGAAATTTTAAAGAACTCATAATAATTAATCTTGATTTCTTATTAATTTATATTGTTGTGATGTTTTGCATGTTTGACATTAAGTGTGTATAGGATATGGTTGATTATTATGTGTGTGGCTATAAGATAATAGCAAAGCATGAGCATAATTTTAAAGTTAAAATTTATATTAGGATTTAGATATATAAATTTTTCATTTTTAATATAAGATTTGATGAACTCTATCATTTTTATTATGTAATTTCTTTTCTATTTTCATAGTAAGTAATTGATTTTTTTTAAGAAATTAAAAAGTAGAATAAATACATACTAAAATATTTGTATATTCTCATAATGATGTGAACACTTAGCCTTTTCTTGTAAACATATCAGGAGGATTGTCCTAATAACTTGTATATTAGATTCAATTAACTTTTAACCATTTTAAGATACATGACTTTTCTTTAATTGTGTAGCATACATGCATCTAAATTAATTTTATCTTTATTAACAATTTATAAAATAACTTGAATTTCTCGTAATGTTTAAAATAATATCTTTATTCTGTTTTTCAAAAGAATAGTGTTTAAAAAGTGAAGACCATACCAAATAAGATTTATCTCAATTCCAACAAAATAAAATTTCATGACATTTAAAGGTATAAATTAGGTATATTTATAAGGTTTGCTTTTGCACATTAGTGTTAACAATCTCATTTGTATGAAAAACATATAAAAACAAAAAAAATTCTATACATATTTTTTTATTTATAAATTTTATCTTTGTTAAGAATTAAGACATGTTACAAGCACTAATCACTTTCTTAAGAAACTTAAATTTTAAATCATCTAAAGGTTTTATGAATAAGTCAACTAATTGATGTTTGGTGTTTATATATTCCAATGACACAATTTTTGATTTCAACATGTCTCTAATCAAGTGATGTATTATATCTATATATTTGGTTCTTGAATATTGTATAAGATTTTTAGAGATACTAATATCATAATAAATAATTACAGCATATTAAGAGAAACCATATTATCTAGAATTTTTTCAATTCAAAAAATTATGTGCAGTAATTACTTGTTACAGTATACTTAGTTTTGTAGTGGACAATGAAATTAAATTCTTTTTCTTACTTAGCCATGCTATCAAGTTATAACTAATATAACAACACCCCTGTCCAATCAATATTTGAAGAATAATCTAGACTCAAGGTGCTTTAAGATTCTTTTAATTGTTGTAAGATGTGAATCTTTAGGATTAGATTAAAATCTAGCACAATCACCCTTATTAAAAAAGGAATCATTAAAATGTTAAGTCAAATCTTTTATGATTTTTTTAATATTTAGAGGATTATGATAGGTTGCTAGTCATTGTGCTTAATCTTCAAATATAGATCAATTAATTGTTAAATTGATAATAAATTAATTGATTTAGTTTATTTAATCATATTTTATTCATAATTATAATTTATATTTGGACCAACTTATTAGAAAACTAAATGGTTCATACGTATAAGAATTACTGGTCAAAAATTAAAATGGGATGATTAATCAAGTGTGACTTAAATATAAATAATTTTTAGAAATTCAACACTAGAATGTAATTTATACAGGGAATTACAATTTTAGACCTATAAAAATCAAATAGGGACTGAATTGGATAAATTTATAAAATTATTTTGAAATAATACATGTCATTTTATTCAGGGGTGAATTAATATGTTATAATTTGTAATGTTTTCAGGTTTTTCTATAAATAAAATGCTATGTCTTTTGTTTTTAGTATAGAAACTACGTAAGTTATAAAATAACTATAAAAACATAAAAGAAAATAGCTAGTAATTAAAAGTATAACAATCCTTTCCAGAAGAGTTTAAAAGATTTTTTATTAATGGTTCATGTAAATTATTGTTAAAGATAAGATATTTAAATAATTTATGATTTATAATAATTTAATTTTAAAGTAATTATTAAAAAAAATATTTAATTTTCAGATAATTTTTATATAAACTTTAAATAGTTCTATAAATATTTTAATTTTAAATTTTTTGTTTCCTAGTATATGTTTTAGAAAATCCAAAAACAAGATTACAGCTTCCTTGACTTAGTGGGCAGAGCACTGAGCGCCGTCACTTGGCCGAAATGAACTCCTGGATGAAGGCTAGTTTACTTGTTCTAGTCCACCTGATTACTTTACACGAAACAAGGCAAGCGGAGAACAAAGTCGAGGAGGATTTACTACCACTAGTTCTTAACCACCTGGAGCAAAACACATCGATCTTTCAAACAGATAGTATAATGTAAAGCAAAAACAAGCCATGAAAATGTTATACATAATTTGCCCTAAGCTGAGCTGATGCAGCTGGAATGTATCCACTGTCTCCTCAAGTACATCAAATATTGAGAGAATATAAATGTAGCAAGACATGATATAATGAAACTCATCAGTAGCTTAATATTGTCCCAATGGATGCAGTTTAATTTAGTAACATGTTGCTACTAAGTAAACAGTACATCAATATTCCAAATTCAGACAGAGGATGATCATTTGATGCTGTAATATGGCAGTCCATGACATCTGAATTTTAACCTGCTTAGACAACAACAGAAACCTTTATTGGTAAAAATCATGCTTATTCTTACATAACCAATGCGATTTTCCAGAGAGTGAGCCTAACCTTCATGCATCAGGATCATAAGGATCTTCGTTGTGTAATCTTTCTATTGTTGAATGCCGATCATAGCCATTGCAATATTTTTCATGTTTAAGGCACTTGATTAAATGATTTGCAGTCTCGATACCTATTTTAAATAATATAACACAATTTCTTCAGCGAGGATGAAACTTTAATCTTCTTAACAGTACATTCCAATTTCCAAGCCTCTATGTGCTAGTTTGTGTGTGTTTGAAAGCAGTCTCGTACACAAGAGAGAGGGAAAGAACCTGCAAAATATGCAGCATCAGCATATCCCAAGTATCTAGAATACGTGTGCTCCCCACAAAAATAAATTCGACCAACAGGTTCCTACATTTTACAAAGTAACTAAGGTTATTGTTCTGACTTCTGTCCTTGCCCTGAACTCAGTGTGCTTTTTCATTCTGGAAGCAAAATATGATACCCACTACCGGATTTTGATTGTTGCATCTACCTCATCAACTGCATTGATAGAATTCACACAAAAACCAGCGAAATTAAACATGAATCATTATTTATATTTTGTGTTTTTCTCACCTTTAGTTGCATGTGTCTTCGTTGACTATATCCAATAGGCCAATTTGAGAAGCTACCCTTGAAGAACCTGTTGGACCACCATCTAGGAATAAGAATTTCTTCTGGTTCTGGGATGTCGTTACCAAACATTTTTTTCAGCACATCCATGATCTCCTCTTGGATTTTAATATCCGGTTGCTGCTCTATCCTCTTTGCTTCTTCATCTGTTACTGTTACAAATAAAATGTTTGATCCTGGCATTTCAGTCTCCAAGTGCTGTAGTTGCAAAAAAATGATTTAGGAAGTCATAGTTCAGTGACAGGCTATACTGGTTTACAGGCAATTAATAATCTGCAAGAACACATGCTGCCAGCTTAATTGTTTGAATGTGCACCTGCCATATCGGGTAGTATCCACGTTTTTCGTGGGCATAGAGGAAGAATTCTGTCTCGGGTCCAGAGGGCCAAAACTTGTAAGGGAATCTCAGGAATATCTTGGTGTATACAGCCATATCGAATTCATATATTGCCTGTGTCTTCCATTGCTGCTTCAAGTTTAAGAGAACCTGTTTAATGAATGAAAAGAATGGGGGAGAGGAAAGGGAGGTGTGAAAGAACTAACAGGTAAGTGTGGCTTGAACACAATGAGGTCACTTTGAAGCACCCCAACGCTCACAGAGACAATCACATATTTGGCTTGGTACACAGAACCATCTTCAGTTTTTACTTGGACTCCACTCTTAGAATAATTGATCTCTCTAACCACCTGTATTGCATGAACATGGATTGCTATGATTAATGGCTTGTGGTCTATGGACCATGGTTTTGAGAAACAAGATAGTGATTCTGTTGTTTTAGGCAGCTTATTGTAATGTTTGGAGGGTGGCACATTCTAATTTTCATTTGCCAGGTCGCTGTGCATGCCAATTACACATCCATCATGTACAAGGTAACTGAGATGGACGGACAGTATGGCCTTATCTTAAAAAAAAAAAAAAAAACCATTCCATTATTTTCTTAGAAGACTTTCGTTTAAGATTCTAAACCAGTGGCACCACATGATGATACCTTGTTTAACTTGAGCCTCTGATCCCTTATTACTTCATGTTTGTGGGAGAGAAACTGCTTGGCAATGTAAATAAGTATACTCTCAAAGCCTCTTGAATCAGCCAAGAAATATGTTTGATCCCCAAAGTCTAAAAACTCATAGCGAGGAATAGTGTTCTTTAAACTTGTCACTCTTGGAGGTTCTGCATCTTCATAATCGTTGTAGAAATAGTCTATAACCATGTCAAGAGGAGTTGTCGGCACCCTATGTACCAAGTTCTCTGTTAATATTTGTATCCAGTTGATCAACGTTTGGAAGCTCATTATACAATAACAAGAGATTTGTGTTTCCTTACTTTTTGAAGAGGCGCTGCGATACCAGTATTGACACATCATCACGATCGTGACCTGGTGCAGATAGTCTAGTGGAAAAGCTCGTGCAGAATTGATCCCTTGTTTCAGCAACTTCTAATGCTGCGCTGACTATATGCTTGGGGTATAATCCACCCCTGTGGAGATCATAGAGAGAAACAAAACAATGATGGATTATACATACTGCGCAATGGTTTTTGTCACTGTATCATGAAAGGAAATTGAAAGAGACTCTTTACTCTTGTTTATATATGTTTGCCGAGATATTTCCATAATCTGACAAGTAGGTCTTAAGGTTGAGTTTGCTAGCAATTTCATACAAGTGATTGGACCTGGGTCCCCCACCAATAACCCAATTTGCACCCAACTCAACAGTGTGTCCTCTAAATTGAACGCTATGAATCCGACCACCAATCTTGCTGTTTGCTTCTAAAATCAATATATCTTGAATTCCAGAATCATGCAGTGTCTTTGCCGCTAAAATCCCTGAAGAGTATACAAAATCATTTAAATCGTGATGGACTATCAAGTTAAGCTTCAAATAATGGAAGAGAAAAATATGGACATACTTGTTTCTTTCACACACAATGACTAATCTACCATCGTATAAAAAAGTATGGATCTTGACATCTGCTCTTTACCTGCTTCATAAATACTAATATAATACTGAACAAACCTGACATTCCAGCTCCGATGATGATGACCGTGGGAGATGGTGAAGCAGAAGTCATTGTTAATAAGAAAAGAATTGCCAGCACAAGAACCGCGCTCAAAAGCTTCATGACATATCTCTTGCTTTCGGGGTGGCTTTTCTCTTTGTATGAGAGATAAGGTTTAACTTTTTATATGTGCCCATTGATAAAATGCTAATCAAACTTTCCCTGTAATAGATAGGAAGAAGTTTACAAACTCTGAATTTCATTATTAGCCAAATAAAAGCATTGATTTGCTTACTAGAACCTGTTCTGTTTTCAATTCATTCTTTTAGTATACATTTTTTTAAATATTATTGTTGCAAGGCAACTCAGTAACTTCTCAATTCAGGTTGACACTTGACAGTTGATGTTTGCCCTTCCATCTTCCCTCCAACTTCAAATTTAATTCTGGTAATTACCTAATACTATCTGTGTCAAGATTTAGTGTTTATCCTGAAATTTAAGTCCCTGAACATGCATCAGGAGTCACTAAATCTTAAATAATAAAAAATGGGAATTTCTTCTCCAAATTGAACAAAATAAATAAAAAGCAGTTCAATTCCCTTAACTCACTTTATTCTGGTTGGTATCACTGTCGGCGACAGCTAGTCGGCCACTTCTGTTAGCTATATATCTCTGAAGGACCTATATTAGACCACCATCTCGGTACAAGCACTATGGCCTCTGGCTTCACAATGTTCTTTACACGCATTCCTCAGCATCTCCTCTGCCTTGTTCCCTTCTTCTGAATATCGGTTTATCCTTGCCGACCACATCTATGGTGGATACTGGAAATTCGTTCTCCAAGCTTGCCAAAAGAAAAACAATACGGATTCAGTTTTTAAGAGAGAGACAGAGGAGCAATTTTGAGGTAAGGCATTAGTTTGATGGTTCAGCTTAGCAAGCAGTAGATTGTCTTCGTGGGCATAGAAAAGATGCTGGTTCTAGGGCCTGTATGCCGTTATTTATATGCGATCCTCTCTCGTGAATGTCTTGGTGTATTTTATGGTCTTGCTGAAATCAGGTACTAATACCATTCAAATTTATTTATAATCATGTTTCAAAGAAAGTATACAAGGGGTTGCTGGCCATATTCAACGTGTTTATCCTAGTTTCCTAATTAAATCATTGTTGAGAGCTCGTGTTTAACATTCCAACCTGATCATTGATAATAATTACATTTACATTGCATTCATTCATCTAGTAATTTTTATTCCAAAGGTTGTGGTCAAGAAAATTCTCTTGATCTGGGAGTGACCATTGAAAAAGAAAAAGAAAATATGACATTTATAGCACTGTACTTTTGATAATGCTATAAGAATTACAGGGAATGGAATATTCTGGAAGAATTATTTTTGAAGATCCTTTTAATCATTCACAATATATTTTATGATTTTTATTTCCAGAGTGTATTGATTTTTTTTAAAGAATATCTTCAGTAATTGTAAATTTTTTATTAAATAAATACCTGCACAAAGTTTCTTGAAGATACTTGAGGGGTGTTGTTAGAGAATTTTTTGAAGATCAAATATTAATGAGCTTTTATAAAAATAAAAAATAAAAAAAAGATGTAAAAGAGAATGTAAATATAAGGGAAAAAGAAAAGAAATATGTTTATGTTTGAGAGCATAAGGTTTCAAATATTTTTTCTGTGTGCTCAATCTTCTTTTTTTATTACATGTCTTGATTTGCTTAATACACCAAGTAAGGGGTAAACATGTAATTTTATAATAGTACAATAATATTATTATAGTATTGTTCGTGTCATTACATTTCATTAATATAAGTATGGATTCTTTGTTCATAATTGATGAGATGTTATGAATATCATGATCAGTAGCTTAAGCTTAGAGTAGAGGAGGTTTAAAGTGAAATTACTTTTTAGTTATATACCGAACCTAGGTGTATGTGGGTTCGACTTGCACGTTAAATTTAAGAGGAGTCAGATTCTTATCTAGATGTTATTAAATTCAGCTTATACATTGAATCCTTGTACACTAAATCTAGGTGTTGTTAGATTCAGCTTATATATTGAATCCAAATGTGGTTGGGTTAAATTATAAACCGAACCTAAAAAATGTTACAAGTGGACGTGTCATGATCCAAGTTGGAGTTTAGACATGCAAAGAATATAATTCTATTTTGGGTTATAATTTTGTTGTGATGGTCTTGAAATGAAGGGCTTTTTTAAAAATCATGACCCCTCAACTTTATTATTATTATTATTATTATCATCATCATCATTATCATCTTCTTCTTGGTTGAAAAACAATAATTTTACATTAGCGCTTTGAGGAACCAAAAAATGAGGTTAAACATTACTGTTAATTAGCTTGATTGGTATTATCATCGCCCAAGGGCTTGGGGAGGAGACAGAGCCTGACTCTGAGGAAGCTAGCTTTACCTGGTGTGTTACTCGTGGTATCCTATTTCCAGCCAACCTGATTATTCTATCTTTTTGTGGCATACCATCTCATCATGGTACTAATTCTCTTGGCAGCAAGAAATTATCATTGCGCTGACTTACTAGCCAGCTCGCCATGGTTCCTCCCATAAGACGCCTGTTCAGATTCAGAAGTCTACTGCCGTGGACTGATTTCTCTACCAATACATGATATACGTTAAAGGAAGGAAAAGAAACCAACGTTTTTTACATTCCATCGTAGTAAAGACAAGTGCAGTTGATAATATAACATGTGGTGTACACGTGACATTAAAGCCTGAGTGGTTGAACTTGAGCCTTCGTAGGCCCTCTTGGATCCTTTACAAAGCTAAAGTTAGTCCCATTGTCCAAAAGTTTGAGCCAAAGGTATCTGTGGTGTCGTGCTTCAGATTTGTCTCTCTATGTGGCCATGGAAACTTTATAGACAATTGTTAAGGTAGTGAACTGGCAAATTCAAGGTGATTTGTCGCGTGCGGGACCTATCTTTTTGTCAAATCACCGAGGGGGATTCATCTCGTCTCCCTCACCAATCCAAAAATTAAAGGGTACTTAACTTTGTTTGCTGGGTTAATTGTGTTCGTTCCTACCTTGGAAATATCCTGAGAATTTGAAAAGGAAAGGAACATTATTATTTTTTTAATGAAGAATTATAGGTTGTAGTGGATGAGGGTAAATTTTGTTATAGCATCTTGTCATTTCTAGATTTATTTTTTTATTCACATAAAAAATTTATTTATAATTTTTTATTTTATTTTAAAGCAAGTATATCTTCTATCTTTGTGTTTATCTCTAATATATATTTGTGTAGATATAAAATTTAAAAGAATCTTTCTTAAATTTATATAGAAATAAAAGTAATATAAGTTTTGTGATTTGAATTTAAAAATATAAATATGTTTACAGGATAATACTATACAAAATGTTACAAGAAATTACAAAAAAAAGTATTTTATGCCTTTTATATATAAACTTGTCTACGTAGTTCTGCCTCCAAAGCTTAGGAGGAGGAGGCTTTTTATATTGACAAGGTTTAGACTGACTTTTTAAAGATTTCAAGAAGCAAATGATTTGTCTCTTGAAAAATTAAAAAAGTTTGTCTGCTGCACTGAATATTGTTTGTTATTCTTATAAGTAAAGAATCAACTTTTAAAAAAGTTGAAATGAAATTTTGTTGGTTTAACAACTTATGCCAATAGGAAGAGTTGAGCCTGCAAATTTTGAAAATAGGCTAGAATATTTCTAGGTCTAGAAAAATATTATTTTATAGAAAAGTGAGTGCTTATGATTTTTGTATAGAAGAAAGAATTCCATAACAATCATCTTCATTGTCATCAGCTAAGCTGACAATGGAACCCGAGGATGATAAAGATAGAGAGGAATCATCATTTTTTATGCTTTGTAAGAGTTGTTTCATAATTTTAAAATACTTTTCTTTAGATTTTGTTAAGACAAGAAGAGTAGAAACATGAGATCTTCAGGTTAGAAATTTAAATTGAGGATTTAGGTTTATAATTTAAGCCTTCTGGTATTGCTGAAGCTATTCTATTATAACAAGTTTTGAACTTTTGCTTTTTGCTACAAAAAAAATACTAATTTTACTTTGTATCTTCTAATAAGGATAGGATTACCCATGTTGGGTATTATAGTTAAAATACCATAAATAGATCCAAATGACAAATAATTTGAATAGAAAATGAGAATTGGGGGAATTTCTTCTCATTTTTTGAAGGTTTAAATTTCTGTTTAAAGTAAATATAGTTATTTTTAATTAAAGGGTGGGGTTTCATTACTTCATAAATATAACCAAAATAATCTTACTATTGAAGAAATCATTTTGGTAAGTTTGAAGTCTTGATCTGCTTATTAAAATAGAATAATAAAAAAAAAGGCTACCTTTATTATCTTAAAGGAAAAAAAGCATTTAAACATGCTTATTGATAATCCGAGTATGAATAAAAATGGGTAATGAAATCACCATGTTTGACATGATATTTGATAAGAAATTGGATTATTTGGTGAAGGAGTTATTTCCAATTAGAAGAATAAATGGTATTTTGGATAATGCATGTGGAGTAGGCATATTGAGAATGATTTGTTGTAATTTGAAATATTTGAATTTGATAGATCCTGTTATTTCAAATATTATCATGTAATAAGATTGGAATTTGAATAAGTCTCATGGTTTGAAATACCAATTTAGAGGGAAGATTTTTTGTAGTTACAATAGAAGGATCAAGATGGAAAAGTCTATTTTTTTTTTTATAGTTAAAACATTTTGATAATTTAGTTTTTCAATATAATTAAAATTTTCTTTTGAAACCTTTTGAAATAGTTCAAATGAAATATTTGAATTAAAAGGAAGCAAGAATTTTTTAAAGGAAGAGCCTGCTTTAGTTTTGGAAATTAGTTTGGAGGACTTACTTGTTTAGGAAGTTTTTTTTTTTTAAGAGGACTTCTAGTTAATAGCTTGTAAAGCCAAAAGTAATTCTAGTGAATTGGATAAGAATTCTACTCAATTTTGTACTTGTGAAGAGCGTTTTGTTTTATTATATTTGATTATTACCTCATACGAAGATTTGATTGGTTTTGTAGAGGAAATTGCTCATGCAAGTAGTTTTGTAGGGTTTTGAGATTTCGGAGACTCAGACTTTATTTGTGGGTCTTATCATTTATCTCTAGATTTGAATTTGAGAGGCATCATGACTTGTTTTGGAGGAATTCTTTAGTTAGAAAATTAGGAATAAAATTTATCTCTTTTTATATATTCTATATCAAAATAAAAAATACTCCATATAGCTTGTCATCGAGCAAATATCTATTTTACAACAATATTTTGAACATCTTTTAGTAAAACTTCTTTAGTAAATTTGCAATCAATGTGTAATTGTTTTTTTGATATAATAAATCAATTTGAAATTTTATAATACATAACATAATAAAAAGAATTTTTTTTAATAGTAAAGTAATTTTTTTTGATAATCATTCCAATATATAGATTTAAATTGAAGAATTTGTTCTTTGTTCTCCTAAACTTGTTTAAGGATACCTTTGTACCCCAACTTAGAAGCATGTGTCTCAACTATTTTGAGAGTTAAAAGATTGGCAATGTTTAGGCAAGGAATCTCTTGGACCTGTCTTTTAATTTGTTGAATGATTCTAGTATGTTTATCAGATCAAGGAACAATGTTCTTTCTTAGTCTATCATATAGGAGTTTTGCTATTTTGCTCACATTATGATATAAGTCTAGATCATAATTAAGAATTCTTAAAAATCTTTGTAGCTTGATTTATCTAGAATTTTGTCATGAAATTTACTAGCAAAAGTAAGGGATCTTTCTATAGGTGCAATAGTTTTTTAAGAGATACAATGATCAAGAAAATAAACACGAGTTTAAAAAAGAGAAATTTTTATTTTTTAAACATCTAAACCAGTTTTCTATACGATATAAAAAACTGTTTGTAAATGTTTAAAATGTTATTCAATAGAATTTCTTAATCCGAATGGCATGACATTCCACTTGTATCGACTAAATAAAATTGTAAATATAGTTTAATGATGATCTTTTATATGAATTTGAATTT